TAAAATAGCGCTTTCCCCCTCAGAATACATGGTCTGTAAAGTGTTACAGGCTGAGGCAGTAAGTCATGAGCCTTCTCAGCCCTGCTAGTGTGGTCCCTGTTGGTTCATTCTGAAGGGATAGCATGGCTCTTAAATGATACTGCTGAAAAACAGTGAAAAGCCATATATGGTCTCTTATTCTTGAATAAGCTCAGTGTTCCTTCAAAAGTTTAGAACTGTTATTTGAATTGCGTGCTTAAGATATAAATGTATATTTAAAGTTTTTGCTCTGCCAGTGTTCAAGTTCTAACCACTGTCTGGTAGGTTTTGACTCTTTTTTTCAGTGGATTCTGGCAGTAGTTGTACCTGAATGCCTTGCCTTGTTTACATTGCTGACTGCTCTTTGTGGTTTCTTTTTCTGCAGGCTCATGTGGCAGCTGTTATGCATTTTCTTCCATGGGCATGCTGGAAGCAAGGATACGTATCCTCACAAACAACACTCAGAAACCCATCTTTAGTCCTCAGCAGGTGGTGTCTTGCAGCCGGTATTCTCAGGGTAAGTACACTGGTGTATACGAAGATTACTTTCAGTAATGATATTGCTACAGAAGGAGACTGTATGTAAAATACTTCCTGCCTTCCCCATCACCTGTAGTTTAGTTTTGTTCATAAAGTATCTGGCTGGCTGTACTTTATAGTACTTATTTAAAATTTTTTTTTTTTTGAAAGATTGCAGAAAATATTCCAGAGTTGTCAGCCCACCTTACTGTAGGGGTGGGATTGAACCAGGAGTAGGTGGCCTCATGCTCAGGATGTTAATGGATTTTTACATAGATCTACCTGGGAGGTGGGGAGTATCTAAGAAGTAGGGCTAAAAATACAGTGAAACTGCAGTGCATGCCTATAAAGTGCAGAACCAAATATCCTCCCAAAAGCATATGCAGAGGGAGGAGGAGCATATGGGGAGGGGGAGATGAGCAAAAGCAATGACTAAAGATTTCCGAAGGACTGTACCCTTGTTAGGACAGGTCTTTTAACTGCTCTTCCTCGTGAGGAGTGTCAGGAGGAATTGGAGGAGAGCATGGTCCATGCATTAGTGTTCCCAGTATATCTCCTGCTGATGCGAATTTTGTCTTGTGTGTTTCCGAAAGCTAGCTATAGCTAACTGGAGTATTAGGATTATCTGGGGTCACTGCAATTAGTGCTGGATACTGTATCTGGAAGTATTCCAGAAGATTTGAGTAGGAGAGTCTCCCACCTCAAGTAACTCTCTAAGGGAATAAGCAGATTTTTTTGTTTGTTTGTTTAGGTTGTGATGGTGGCTTCCCATACCTCGTTGCTGGAAAGTATGTCCAAGACTTCGGTGTGGTGGAAGAGGACTGCTTCCCTTACACAGCCCAAGACTCTCCATGTATTTTCAAGCGCAGCTGTTTCCACTACTACACCTCTGAGTACCACTATGTTGGTGGTTTCTATGGAGGCTGCAATGAAGCCCTGATGAAACTCGAGCTTGTTCTGCATGGGCCAATGGCGGTTGCCTTTGAGGTTTATAGTGATTTCATGCTTTACAAAGAGGGGATCTACCATCACACTGGGCTGCAGGATGACTTCAATCCTTTTGAATTGACCAATCATGCTGTCTTGCTGGTGGGCTATGGTACAGACCCAGAAAGCGGTGAGAAGTACTGGATTGTGAAGAACAGCTGGGGCACCTCCTGGGGAGAAGATGGTTACTTCAGAATCCGCCGTGGCACTGATGAATGTGCAATTGAGAGTATTGCAGTGGCTGCAACTCCTATTGCAAAATTATAACTGCAGAGGTCTTCATCCAGTGCCTTGTCTCCCCAGCCATAAGAACATACTGATTGTTAGAAACAATGTGGGTAAAACCTGTCCCCTGGCTTGAACAGGGGAGCTTTGATGAAATTTTCTGGAATAGAGTAAACAGTTTCCCTAGGTGAGAGGATGAACACTGTTAGCTCTGCTCTGTGCACTGAAGGCTTCCTCTCAAGCCTGACAGTAGAGCACCTAGAATGCAATGACCGTTTTGGTAACAGTGGTAGTTATTCATCACTGGATGTGCAGCTTCAGTCAGTAGTTGTGTTTTCTTCCATGGACAATCTTGAACTTCAGATCTCAGAAGCTGTGATGATCTGTAACTACTCTGAAAGGACACTGTAGTGCCTTACTTCTCAGAAATTGAAAAGTCACTGCAGTTTAGAACATCAGTGTGTATTGGGGAGGGAATAAGCAATTGCACTGATTAAAAGGAAATTTTAAAGCTTTAAGTGTCCTGCGAAAACTGCATGTCAAACCCTTAATGACAATAAAAATCGATTCTACATTTCAGCCTGTAACTAAATGTTCCAGTTAGAGATTTTTATTGCTGTGCTTTGCGATTTGTTCATCTCAGAGTTCAATAAAAATTACCTCACTCCTACAGGAGTGTGTACTTGTGGAAGTAGTTGATTCTTTATTTCAGTGACCTGTCTTTAAGTTTTGAACTTCCTGTCCAGACCTTTTTTACTTTAGCAGCATCTAAACTGGTGGGGAAGGGAGGATGAGAGGGAGAGGAACTAGGAATCATCTAGCTGAGGCCAAGATTCTCACTGCAGCATCAGGCAAGGTTGTCCAGGAGTCTGGTAGTCCTTGCTGAGGATATGGGACAATTCCTTGAGTCATCTGGGTAATTCCCCAGTAATCCTGCTTAAGGCCTCTCTGTTAATCTGTTCCCTATTCCTTTCAAATTACAAGGTAGAAAAATAGAGTTGAGGGGGGGATTGTAACACTTGGAATTAACCGTTTCTTTCTAATGAAACTCGGCTGCAACACGGTACGTGGTTAATGCAGCACTGGTCTTTGCTGTCCTTCTCAGGAGAAAATGGGAGTGGCTTAGAGGTGAGTCCCAGTATCACAGGTAGATGACGACTTCTTTTGTAATCTTTTGATAAAATACTATGTGACCAAAGTAGTTGGTATTTTGATATAAAAATACAATCTTACAGGGTTTTATTGATTGTCTATAATCAAAATATCCCATTTCATTTAGAATGGAAAATTCCCGTTTACTGTAGTAGCAGAGTTTCACAAGAACTACTTGACTATTTTGCTCAGATTGAAGGGCAGAGTAAGGATAGCTTCATGGGTTTTTGTTTTTGTTTTGTTTTGTTTTTGAACCTCCTGCCAAAAAATACAAGCCATGTTTGGAAATTGAGAATTTGTATTTTGCCAGATTTTGAACAAAAACGTCTGGAACAGCTTATATGCTTATATTGTGCATTGGATTGTTTTAGCTGAGAGAATTGAGGGGGAGAACAGGGTACTCGTTGCTTTTCACTTGGATTTTTAGATGTTACTGCAAAACTGAGAGTCCCATGAGGACTTAACCCCTTGGTAGCAGCTGCAGTGCGTCGTGAAGATGTACGGTTCTCCCACACGCCTCTGCCTGAAATACCCAAGGAAGTGCACACCTTCTCTCTTGCACTTCTCCCTTTCTTCACCTATAACAGTGTTTTCCCAGGGGAAGATGTTACTGGGCTGGGAGAGGCAATACTGCTTTCCCCTGACAGTGTGTGTGTGTGGTTTGTGTCTGCCATGTTACTGGGCACAATAATGGTGTGATAGTTCATGTGCTGATAAACAACTCTCAGTAGGTCACCCACTACCCATTTTCCAGGCATTGATTTGAATTATAGTCCTAAAACTAAAGCTGAAAATTGCTTGAAACAATCCAGGATGGAAGAAGTTGTTGCGTGTGCTTTCATTTTGGAAGACAAGACTATGTCGGCTGCAGAGCACTGCCAGCAGCAAGCTTCCTGCTGTGCTGGTATTACAGCTACACAGCTGGGCCCAACACAGATGGCAGCTTCTCTATACGTATGCAGCCATGTTGACACCTGTATAAACTCTCCCGAGGTGCAGAAGTTGGTCACCTTTGTGTAGGTGACCTGCAGGCTTGTCCTGCCACCCGTGAGGGCCTGTGATTTCGCTGTGCAGATACAGTGCACTGTGAATATCCCATGCACTTCGCATGTCAGCTCTTAGTAAGCAGGTGTTTGCATGAAGTTCTGCTTTTGTATGGATGTGCTAGGTTCTTGGATGTATAGAATCTAGAATGACTTCTTTAACATCTGTAGCACTTCAGATTATTTTGAGAATAAGGATATGAAAGCTAGATGTTTGATAGTATTTTTACTTCAGCCATTAGGAAATCGACTATCAATAAACTGCTGCTGACGCTCATGGCAGCACAAGTGTAAAAAGGCTTGCTGTTCACCGTGCCCCGTGTCATGTTAGCTACGTGTAGTTTGAATGAAATTGTGTGTTATTTTCTTAAAAAATCCCACGTCTGTCTATCTGTCGCTGCTTGTGTGTGGCAGCTGTACTGGTGCTAACGTGAGGACAGAAGAGTTCTCAGAGCAGTCTGTCACCATCACTGCCCGCAGCGACTGTCGTCGGACATACTTGTTTGCCTCTGGCTGACTGTGATACGTGAATATCCCTGTTTTCTGTATTCCAGAGTTGCACAGAGGAGTGCCAGTCAGCCTGATGGAGCTAGTAGGTGGCCACCATGGCACTTTTGGATTCTCAACTTTTATTTGGAGTTGTGGGCCCAGTGCAGGCAGTACATTCAGGAGTCACAGGCTGAAGACCAGCCAGAGCATTTCCTTCCTGCAGGCCAAAAGGGGCACAGCTACAAGAGTTGCTGGACCTTGGAAGTGAGGAGGGACTGCTCCACTGTGTGATGGTGCAGGCTGTGACTCAGCTTCACCCACTGGTATCCTTCCAGCTCCTCAGACGTTGAGGAACGGGGCTAGGCTTGGCTGTAAGGAACAGACTGGAAATAAAATGGAGAGTGAGTCTGCAACTTCAATTCCCCTTTTTTTTTTTTTTAAGAGGCTGTAGTTTGTTTTTAAGGCTTCTACCCCTGAGTGGTGTGTTATCTGGAGTAGCTTCAAATGGGAAACAAGCTGATGCTCAGGAGAATAATGACAGGTTTGGCAAATATGCCTTGCAGTGAACAAGCAGGGGCCCAATGTATTTAACTTGTCAAGGAAGGTTAATAGGTAATGTCATGGCTGATAAATACTTACAGGTGAAACAAAGCTGATCATCAGCCCAGCAAACAGAGATATTAAAAGTTTGGTGTTTTGAAAATGAATATATACAGAGGACCAATAAGCTATAGCTGTTTAACAGTGAGTGTAATGAATCCCTAAAATCTATCAAGGGCTGTGGTGGAGTTTCCCATCACTGGAATTGGGTGATTTACTGGTTTGAGCACTTCCCCTAGAACAAAAACTGCTCAGGGAATCCTGTGACTGGTTTATGAAACAGACATGGCCAGATCATCATGACTCTTTGGTCTGTGGTCTGAGGACTTGAAACACAAGGTAACTTAACTTCCAAAGTTGTCAGTCTAACTTTGCACCGTAAACTGCATATAAAGTAACAGCAGAGACTTTTTCCTAGATTTTTTCTAGATTTGTTCAAACTGCTGAAATTGGAGCAGAGTAATTTTAGAGTTGTGTTGGTCCAGGAGTCTTGGGAAGACAGGGAAAACCACAAAGTGCACCAATGGAGCTTATTAAAATACAAGCCTGGGAGGATGTTATACTTTTATACTTTGATAGCTGCTTTTTTTTTTTTTTTTTCATTTCCAAATGGCCTAAACTTCATCCATTGCTGGAGGCTTAGAACTAGCTTGTAAAGTGAAGTGAAGACCGTTGGACTGCTTAAAAAAGTTCTCCTGCTAACATCAGACCTCCTACAAACTCCAAAAAGATCAAGCTGTGTTTTTCAACTACTTGGCTTTCAGGGTGTGATTAAAACAAGGTTGTAGGTATTTTTAATGGAACACCTTTTGGGACGTGGTCCAGTGGGCATGGTGGTGTTGGGCTGACGGTTGGACTTGAAGATCTTAGAAGTCTTTTCCAACCTTAATGATTCTGTGACTTGCAAGGATGTCAAATGGAGAATTTTGAAAACCATTTTTAAATCAATTTTTCTCAATTTAGAAAGGGACAAATGCTGATTTTTTTTTTTCAATTTATTTTAGAAGGAAAAAAAAAGATGCACTAAGGAAGCCTTTTTTCAGCCGTTTCAGTCTACAAAAGAGCATCCTTTACCAAGATCTTCAGTTTTCACTTTCTCATTCTTCCCCTCCCGAACACTATAGCAGGGGGTTTTTCCCCACCAAATCATTAATTTCTTCAGAAAGGCCATTTCTGGTATGTGTTAAAATTCCCTTTAAAACAGCAAAGCTATCAGTGATTTCACTTTCACCTCAGTGGATGGGAGTTACTTAACTCCGCTCCAGACAATCAATGGGGACAGAGCCGCCTGATCTAGTTGGGACTGTCTCACTTAGCGTGGAAATGACGTAGGAAATGTGGGCTCCAGAATGTGCTGAGGAGCACGGTGTAATGCCCAGAGCTTCTGGGGCGAGGAGAGAGGTTTGAGGGAGGGTCTGTGCCCAGGCCTGCTGGTGTGACTTTGTAGGAGCTCCGGGATGTTGCAGGAAGGGGGCAGGGATGGCTGCGGGGGCTTCAGCTTGCAGGTGGCCTGAAACGCTGTGCAGAGGTGCCTGTGCCCATGAAGTGTCTCAGGGCACAGCCTTACTAGTGCCCTCATTTGCACCATTTTGGCTGAGGGCAAAATAGCACTTGAATTGTAAAATAAAGTGTAATAGCTAGGTCAGAAAGCCTGTGGGTGCTAACACTTTTGTACCCAGACTGATTCATGGCTCACTCTGGTTTCCCCCACCGCAGTGCATTACACATGTAGACATATCTAGCTACGTTTAAAAAAAGTTGATTTCAGCTTGAACCTTGACATTTTGAGGGAGACCCCAAGCATATTTAAAAAAAAACCCAACTTCTTTCCTTATCCCAAATGATATGGGCAGCGTGTGATAACCAAAGAAAAGGTGGAAGCTTTGACTACGGTATGAAATAATAAGACAGTCGGGCTACCCCTTCTGAGCGCTGAGTTTTAAGT